CTACACGAGAATCTATGGTCCAATATGTTTGACAAAAGCTGCCTATTTGACAACCACATGAGCCTTTCAGCAGAAACCTGTTTGCTCTGGTTTAACCCAGTCCCTGCAAACCCCAGGGCAGGGGAAGAACTTCAAGCAGGTCCTTACAACACATGTGCAAAGGGCAAAGGTGGGAACGTGCCCGGGTGACTTGAGAGAACAGAGGAGAGGCTGGTCCAGGCTCAGGGGCTCTGGCAGCACTGCTGGAGGTAATGATCTCCCTCACTGATGCCAGGATAGTCACCAATTGAATCCCCAGGAGGGAAAACTCTGGTATCCTAATACTTCCAGAGGCTGAACTTCTGGATTGGATGGACGTGAACATCAGAAGAGTTTTATTATGTAAAGAAAGTCAAGTCTTCCAGGATGTTCTCTCCTCATATTCATTCCTGTGGTCAGACTTCAGCTTTGAACTAGCCTGCCCCAGGCTGAATCACTTCTCTAAACTCAACTCACTTAACATCTTCCATCTATTATCCTATTGTTGTTGTGTTTTCCTGTGAATGTCCTAGCCGTCTCCCATCACTATTCTTTCGGCCTCCCCTGGGGCAGGCACTGGTCATTCACACTATTCTTGACTGGAAGTCCCAAGCACACAGTGGGCACCAAATGAATGTTTATTAAATGCAGGAAACACAGGCATAATTCATTATTTCCTATTTGCATTGAGGCAGCAGAGATACAAATGTGATGACGCACAGCCTGAGCTCAGGTACCTGGAGGCCCTGGGAGGCATTTTCTGCACATGCTGAGGCTGAGGGAAGCAGACCCTTTTCACTGGTTCCTATTTATAGACATTTGGAGCCAGTGACTTTTTTTTGTGAGGGGCTGTCTCCCAGAGCCTGGATGGGAGAAAGGGGCAGAGTAGCACCTCTGAGTTGGTTATCCAGTACATTCCGCTAAAGAAGGCCAATTGTTTTAAAGACATAGGGCTATATTTTCAGTTTTGCACAGAGGCAGTGCTGCATAGGGGTTTATGGTAAGTACTGTGCTCAGTGCACACATGGAATCCAGGCTTTACCACTTGCTGTCTCTGTGACTCTGGACAAATTGCTTGACCTCTCTGTGCCTCAGTTTTTTCATCTGTACATTGGGGATGATAAACACAGTACCTACCTCCTAGGGTTCTTCTGAGGACCAAATGAGTTACAATACATGTGGAACTAAGAAGTGTGCCTGGCATGTAGCAAGTACTATATGTTTGTAAAATCAGTCAATCGATATTAATTTCTATGTGGGGGCAGGTCCAGGATGAGACAATAAATCATGGCCAGAGAGTGAAAATTACGTCGTGCCAACACACATTGTTTAAAATTTAAAGCTAGTACTTCTATTGTCTGGTTCCATTCCCCCAACAACCTACAAAGTGGGTATTATTTCGCGTTTTATGGAGGAAACAGGCTCAGAGGCTAAGATGCTCAGTGCTGTATAGCTCCACATTCGGCAATGGAGCCAGTACTCAAACTCATGCCTGACTCACTGCCAAGCCCAGTCCTTTCTTATCAAGTGATACTTTCTATCATGGGTGGGTTTCAGTTAGAGGCAACCCAGTACTTCCATGACTTTCTGGTTGGGAAGTGGTTCATAAGCCTCTTAAATCACACAAGTCACGTCGTCCCACCTATATGTTTAGAACTAACTAGTACTTTTATTGGAAAAGTTACACTTGCACATGATGCTTTTTTTTCTTTTTTTTTTTTCACACACTACAATAACAAGGGAGCCTGTTTCCTCCTTCACCTTTTCCACCCCCACCAGTTTCATCCCCCAAAGCCTTAGGCAGCATTTCAAAAACAAGTGCATAGATCATTTTAGTTATTTCATTGTTTATTGTGCATTAGCTCTATCTCTTGAGAGGATGTTTCTTTCAGAAATGATCTATGGATTTGTAAACATTTAAAAAATAATATACAAATGAGATCATGTTTTCATAGTGATACAGGCTTCATTGCTTATAGCCCCAATGTACAGATGAGGGGGGGAAAAAAAGCACAGGTGGGACTCAGCAGCTCACCACAAAACTCCCCTGGATGTCTGCCTGGGTTTCTGTCAGATCCACTTGGTTGAAATTCTATTCAGCATTGTTCCTGAGGTCTTACTGTTAAGAACATGTTCTTTGGGTTTCCTGCTTATCTCTAAGTTGAAGAAAATGTGTTTTTTTCTGTTTGCTTTTTCAACCTTCAGTTTCCATGACCTTTGGGGGAAAAAAAATGTAAGCACAAGCTGAGCTGGTCTAAAAGCAGCCTGTTTGCAACATGATATGGGACCTGGACTGCGACCAACTAAACCTTGGTGTAAGGTTCTCCAAACAGATTTCAACAATTTTTCCAAGTAGCAATATTGGTTTATTTCCGTTGACATACTTGAAGATGCTGAATTAACAATACATTTCCTAAACTATTGAATGAGCAGTGGTAAAATGGTAGTTATATATGTCAGAAGGGGAACTAGAGAGCTAATGATTTTTTTTTCCTTTGAATCTTAGGCACCTTTTAACATTCCTTGTATTTAGCCAAATGCCTTTTTAAGGGTAGAATTGGTTAATACAACATTCTCATAGTCCTATAGTTTTTTTTTTTTAAGATTGATAATTGATGGGCCAGACAAACTTTAACATCACTTTCTCCTTCAAAATTTACAACACTCTATTAAAAAAAAGTCATGTGCTCCCTAAACCTGAAAAACCTGGTGAATTATGTAAACCAACTCTTTAAAGTGTTTCTGAATTGTTTCTGCTTGTTTCAAAGAATTTACTGCACATATGTAAATATATATATATAGTATTATACATTGTTTTACCAAAGCTGCAGCTCCTTTTGCCATTGTAGACATAATTGGTGATATTTCTGTATGAGAATATCACTAAAAAGCACACATGAAATGGTGGTCCCTTCCAAACCTAAACCATAGAATTTATGTGACTTAAATTGTGGAGGTCAGTCTAATCTCTTAGGCTTTGAAAATTGCTCTCTCTCTTCCTCCCTAACCTCCCTTTTCTCTTTTATCAAAGGAGGGAGAGTGAGGTAGGTAAATATGACTAAATTGATGAGAGTAGAAGGAAATGCAGTATAACTTTTAAAGTCCTACTTTAATGCTTATGACTAATGAATGAAACATTAATTATAGTGTTAAATAAATCTTGAGGAGATTTCAAAGCAGTCTGTTCTTCTTTTTATTCTATTAACTTACTATCTAGGAGTTCCACCCTATCAAGAATAGCTCCTTCTCACTGGCTGTCCTCAACAGTCCAATCCAAATGTGACCATTTTAGTTCTCCAAAAGAGGCATTTAAGTTTCCTCCCCACCCTTGGACATGTCTCTGTCCTTCTCCCAGCCCCAATCAAAGTTCAACCAATATCTTTCCTTTTCTCATAGAATCTGAAACTGCTCCCCACCTCCCAGCTGCCTGGAATTGCTCTCTTAGTCCACAGCCATAACATGACCAGCAGAAGTCTCTTCCACCACCCCAAGCTGGCCCTAAATCACAGTCATTATGACCACATTTTGGGTTTTTCTTGCTGCAGTGTCCAAAATCCCCATCTCCACCAATGTATTCACCAGCACAGCCATACTAGCATTCCTTTGCCAATACTTACCAAAGCCATGCCCTCCTAGTCATCACCAAATTCTCCATAAGGGCTTCTGCTGTTATCTCTAGAATATGTCAACCGGGGTCATTTGGACCCCCGCTCTGGATCATTTGGCAATATCTGGAGACATTTTTTGGTTGTCACAACTGGGGAGAGGAGTACTCTATTGGTATCGCGTAGGTAGAGGCCAGGGGTCCTGTTAAACATCCTCTAATGAACAGAACAGCCCCTCACACAAAAAAGTCACTGGCTCCAAATGTCTATAGAGCTGAGGTTGAGACATCCTGCTCTCGGAGATAGTTGGAGGCCTTTATTCTTTTTCTGTACCTTTGGCAGAAAGACAAAAACAAAACAAAACAAAACAAAATCTGTCCTCCAGTCACATACCTAGAGCCTGCTGTTCTCTTCCTCACTTCTCAGCTCAGGACTGGGGAAAACACGCCGGATCTGGTAGAACCAGACTTTCCATTCCCCATGTGGTCCTTCTCCACCTGAGCAGGGGCTGGGCCAGAGGCCTCCATCTGGGCAGAAAAACCCATTCAGATCAGTGGTTTTCAACCCCAGCTGTACATCAAGTTCACGTCATTTCAAATTTTTTAAATATTTAGAATACAGATACTCAGAATTCACATTAAATTGGTCTGTGATGGGGTCAGTGCGATATTTTTTTAAATCTCCCCAGATAATACCAATGTACAGCCAGAGCTAATAACCGCCTGCACTGGCAGCTTGCTCAATGGAGGGAGATCTCCCCAACGAGCTGTAGGAAAATACTCTTCTGGGACCCTTTAGCATTATAGGGCATCCAACCTTCCAGGAGGAGGGAAGTCTTTTAATAATGAGGCCAGCTTGGGTCATGTAGGCAAATTCAGATTATTTGAGGGTCTTTCTTCGGAGTTGTTCTAAATTTCAAACTGGGGCTTACATTAACTTTAAATATTTATCAAAACCAGGAAATGAGGGTAAATCAAAGGTTAAAAGCTATCTTCATAATTAAGCACTGTCGGCTAGCTATTTATTTGTCTTGGGGAAAAATATTTTTTTCCTCTCATAGAAAGATAAAATAATCCTAAACTAAAGCTTTGCAATGAAGTATGGTTTATGAAAAATAATGGGATAGTATCATAAATCACAAACATTGTCTCTGTGAAATATGACCAGTCTAATTCTGTACATTTCCTTCCTATTTCAATTCAATGGAGTCTTTACAAGACAAATTAACTTAGCATTAACCTTGGAATCATTACTCTGTTTTCACTGATGAAACTGATAAAATAAAAATACTTCTCAGTGCTCAGGAACCTCATTAAATAATCTGTAACATAAGTAAATCATATCTAATTTCTGTTTCTTTCTTTTCTTCTTCTTCAGCCACACGCTCAGCATTCCATAGAAGAATACACATTGGACCCCAAGTTGGGAAGCCTGGAGTAGAGTTCACGCCATGGTACCACTTTAGCAAGTCACTTAATTTCTCCAGACGGTATCCTTGTCAGGAATGTGCTGGTGTCACCAGGTGATACATAAAAATCTTTTCAAGTTTGAATTAGCAAGAAGGCAGATTACCAGTTTGACAACCCTAAATAACAATAAAGTGCCTGGTTTATTGCCTTGGCATACAGTGTGGAAACATGATCTGTATCAATCAACAAAAATGTACTGAGTACTCTCTCTATAAAAAAAAATGTGGGGCATTGCCATGGGGAATTCAGAGAAATAGGAATTACATCTCCATGGTTTTACTATCAATACAGTAATAATTTAGATGGAGAGATACAGTTATATCAGATAAAAACATTCAGAAGTACCAATTGGTATTTCATTAAATCAGCAAACATTTATTGGAAACCTAATGCGTGAGTCAGATCACAGATAACAGGGCTGATACGTTTAGGGAGGAGTTGTGACTTTTCTCCCTTCGAATAAACTACAGCAACACACTACGTTAACAACTTCATTTAGAGGCATAGTATTATCTACTGTCTCGAGTATCTTTCAAGTATCTAACTTAATGCTGTGGAAATAACATTTATTGATCTTATTCTTGGGTAATTCTAAAAATTCTCTCCCGATCATCTGCTCCTCCAGCTGAGACGATTACCTCTGTTGTGTTCCCTCAAATGTTTCTAAGTTGACAGTTGGTGGTCATCAATAATTTGGCAGCTAATTTAATTAACTATGCATTCACTGAGTATTTAGAAGAATGTGTGTATCTAGAGCATTGTGTTAAATGCTGGCAATACAGAGAGTAAATATTATTTATAACTTGCTCATATAGTTCATAGTCAAGCAGGGGAAAATACATGGAAATAATTGAATTGCAGTACACTGTGATAAACGTACAAAGGGTCTGTTCAGTGTTCAGAGGTAGGTCATGCATTCGTTGACTTAACAAATATGTACTTAAGGCCTTTTCCTTCAGTCACTATCCAAGTCGTGTCGTATACTCTTGAGGGGAAAAATACCAGACACGGTCTCTACCCTGATGGCGCCTGCAGATTAACGGAAGAATAGACAAGAAACAAGTGAACACACAAACAGCAACAACACTATGCAATTTCCAAAAGTACTAAGTTCTATAGAAGAAACGAACAGGGCGCAATGATAATGGAAGGGGTGGACCTATACTCTTACGGTGGACTAGAAAGCTTTCTCAGACCTCTCAGCTGAGACCTGAAGAGCCCGTCATGCAAAGAGCAGAGATGAGCGCTCAGGGGTCGCAGCGTGAGCTAAGGCTCAGAGACAGAAACGAGCATGGCGTGTCAGAGAACGGGAACTGGGCGCTGTGTTCAAAAGGAGGGTGGTCGAGATGAAGCCGGAGGCGGATCACACCGGGCTGTGTGGACCACGGTGAAGAATTTTATTTAAAACCCAATGAGAAGCCACCGGAGGATATTAAATTGGGGATGGCAATGAGCCATTTAGGTTTTAGAAAATGACTCTGGATGCTAAACAGAGACGATATTGGAGTAGAACATTTGTGGTTACAGGGAGACCACGTAAAAAGGTTGAGGTAACCTGGACTGGGCTGGTGGCAGTGGACGTGCAAAACAAGCATGGCTGGATTTGAGGTTTACTTTGGGGAAAGAAACACTAGGACCGTGATGGGCGTGGGGGAGTGAGGGAGCGAAGACCCACGTGGAGGTGTTAAGGAGGCCACTGCACACACAAGCTTGAACCTTGGGGAAGAGTACAGGGCTGGGGACAAAAGTGAACAAGGTTCTGACATCTTGGATGGTGTCAAAGGAGAGCAACTGATTAAGTCCCCCATGAAATTAGAAAGAGAGGGAGGCCTCCCTGTCTCGAGTAATTCCAACATTCACTGGAGCTAAACAATGTGCTATATATTCAAGGTCCCTTAAAGGGTTTCGTATGACCTGTGTATACAAAGCAACAGGGCACGAATGCATTGGTCAGGGTATAGCATTGATAGTTTTCTGATTTCATAAGCAGAATGATTAGAAAGTTAAAAAGGTCCTTAATACCTAGGGGAGGAAGTAGGTCAGATTTCCAGGGATGCTAAGGAAACACAAGTGTCAGTCTCCTTTGCTAGCACGGGCCCCTTACAAGCCCCTGGATATAGTTTTTTATTTGCAATTTAGTACTTTTTTTT